TAGATACCAGCCGATAGCCGAAAGTTTCCTATTAATATGGTTCTTTAATAATTTATAAAATAAACCATCATAATCCATAATAAACCATCCCTCAGTATACTTCTCTAAGCTCAATGATATATAGGTAGATAATATTTGGTAATCATTTTCCTAAGTAACTATGAAAAATAGCTAGAAATTTCAAGCAATGGATCTTTATTGATAACGTAAAAGAAAATGTATCGGTAGAACAAATAACATGCACAACAACTATAAAATGGAATCACGAAAAGATTCTCGTATTCCTGTTTCAGTCACAATGTTTTTATTTCTGAATGACTTTTAAAACCTCTCTAGTATTCAATAGTTTATAGTTTTCAATCAATTAATTTATTTATTATGAAATTGGGTTTTCTTGATTTCTGTCTGAATTCTTCAACTTTATTGGGGATCTGTGTTTAGGGCGAGTTTTGTTTAACTTATTTACAATAAGGTTTTGTTCTGTTCCCTGATTTTTCTTTTGATTGTGAGATAGCTCTTTAAGTTTAACATCAAATGGGTAATTTTTCTTTTTGTATTACAAAGATTTTTTTCAGTAACCTGCATTTATTTTGTTGTCATGCCATTTCGTATTATGTTTTTGCACACTTATTAGTGTTCCTTCTAAAAATATTGTCTATCATGTTATCTTCAAAGTGATTAAAATCTGAGGCTCAAATTTTTTTTTATTTTTATATGTTTTTTCTTTTTCCTTTTGTTTATTTATGAATATTTTTGGTCATCAATTAACAAAAATAACTATAAAAATATATGAGAATTAAAAAAAAAAAAAAAAATGCTGCCTATAAATTGCGTTATCATTGCGTGTGTTTTGAACGCACCCGGCTAACATATATTTATAATTGCTGGAGTTAAAATTAAGTATATGTATTCATAAACTAGGGTGCATATAAATACCTGTAGTAAAATTGTCACAACTCTAGTAAAAACTGCAAAAGTAACGACGCTTCCATCTCGAGTACAATCCATCATTAGCGGGTTGACCTCAGGGCAACAGTTTGGACAAATCAAAATGCCTGTTTCATTTAGAAATCTCTGTACCAATCACAACACCTGAAACATACACGATACAATAGTACCTAATGAACACGATAAATGACATTTCTAAATTGCCGCTTTATTTACAGATTTTTAATTATGGTCTTAGCTTGGAACTTGATGTATTCAAATAGTAGTTTCAGTTTAAATACAAAATAGTTATTGTAAAACACGCAATAATTGTATAGGCACAAACGCAGCCTCGAAAGAGTACATGTTTTATTTCTAGTACAAAATTCAATCAAGGTCATCGACAAATGCGTAAATAAAACTAAAATATTTTAGCACGAAAAACATAAAAATACTAGACATTAAACTTACAATTGTGGACACTGAATAAACTTCGCATTGCTAAATATGTTATATAACGAATAATTTCAATTAACATTTTATCGAACCCACGGTCTGTGAAAATTAATATATGGCACCGGAAGTTTATCAAGCTTTGCTTGACAAAATTTGGACCCTCTGGAAGAAAGTTACTGGCCGATTTTATGGGAGAATGGCTGAAAAGGAATGTCCACTTCAGTTTCACGATTTTCGACCAGTGGATCATGGTAAAATATGTCCACGCTACTGGGCAGGTTAGGATCGAGACGCAAATGCGGCTCATTGCTTTGTTCACATATCGTCTTTTGGGATTTTCTCCCGGTGTTTTCAATCATATCCCTGTCGCATTATAACATTGTGTTACAATCTTTAACACCATAGTCGAGTCTAGTGGACAGTTATTGTATTCTTATTTCAAAAAATAGTCCTAAATTTGCCGTTTTATCTATGAAATAATGCTCTGCACCATACCGTAATAAGTCGCTCCAGGGCTACACCATAGCCTATATGTGTTATTTAGCATAACAGTGGTCCCTTGTTTTACAATGCTGAGTAAAGACATGGAAGCTCTTTTTACCTTCCATGGTAAAGGTAAGTTTGTGGGAAAAGTAATTTAAGTTGCCCACCCATGGAGCTAAAAAAATTAGCTCCATGCCCCACCTAAAACATCTTATTGAGATTGAATATTGATTTTCAAAATGAAGTATGAATTTCCATTTTGCAACTGTCATTTGGCTCTGATACATGAAGGGAAGACAGTGTTATAGAGTTTCCTTTGCAACACTATAAATACATCTTTTTTGGTGCATGTATGGCCTCCATATTTTGTGCTGTCCCATTGACACCAATTTAACTATTTCATGGATATACATGTAGAACGCTAGGAAAAGTTGACAATTGATGCTTGTCTGCAAATGAAAGTCAAGGCACTCATTAATTATTCATGAGCACTGATGATGTACTGTTGAATACTTTATTTTCGCTTGGAATTAATTTTCGCTATTTTCGATAAAGGAATGATTCAGTGAAAATAAAACCCAGTGAATATACCTTTTTTAGCTCCGCTGTCGACTTTGTCGAGCGGAGCTTATCATATGAGTGATTGTCCGTCGTCATCCGTGTCAATGTTTTACTTTTTCGACTTCTTCTTGAAAACTACAAGCCTGAATGCTTTGATACTTGGTGAATATGTACCTTGGGTAGACCTCTCTCAGATTTGTTCATTTCATGATCATATCTTCAATTCTTT